TCCATGCCTGTGTCCAAATAACGAAGGAGAAATTAGCCAAATAAAGTCCCATCAGTCTTGAAGCTGCTGGCCGACTGGGTGTACATTAGAAGATCTATTGATGCGAGCTAGTCACCAGAGAAAATACCCAACCGTGACGTGCGGACCCAGGCACAAAAATAGCAAAGGGGCCCTGGGAGGGATTACACAACAGCCCACGTTTGAGGACGCTTTCTCTCCCCTCGCTGTGTTTCAGAGCACAGCAGCAGCTGCCTCACTCTACACACAGAGTGGGGGAGTGTAGGAAATCACGACGCAAAAAACTGAACATCACCAAATTACAAATAGCTGCAGTCCATTCATCCAGGTATTAGGATATTTTAGCTCTGAATCGTGACCAGGGCAAACATGTCCATGAATGCACCATCACCTATATATACAGTATACATGTCTATCAGATAGAATGTGATCATATTATATACAGAGTGGAGGGGATGTGCCAAAGTGACAAGTGCTTGGAAAGACGGTTAATCATATGGTTGCAGCGGTAGCAGCCGTGGTGAATGTACACCATCCTTTTCAGTGTGAGGATATTGAGAGGAACTCCATTGAAAAAGGCAGCACGTGACCGACTGTGAAGATGCTCGGCACAAGAAAAAAAAAAAACATTAGATACTGTACGTTCTCCAAATTTCTGAGACACCCACAGCCTGTTTAGAGTCAGTTCTTCCCGTCACGACAGGAATCGGTTTGTGAATGGAGAGAGTTGTGATGAGGGTGTTATTAACACGGCAAAAAAAAAAAAAAAAAACTAGGACAATGATGCAGATTATGTGCAGCTGCAGACCTCATCATGTGAATTAGATGGAAGAGTTTGTTCTGATTTTCTTCTCTCCTCTCTTCTCCTGCTGCTCTCCTGGTCTCAGCATTTAGGAAATGTAAATACTAAATATGAACAAGAGTTTATTTTCAAATTTTGAACCTACATCATTAGCTAATCTCCCAACATGTCTCCCAAAAAATGTCGTATCAAACAATTGTTTGATAGTTGTTTGGATGATGTGTGGAACTTTGGCCTTTTGACACATTATGGTTTGCACAACTAAAAATACTTAACCTCCTTTGACCATCCTCACTCCGTACAATGGGGCGAGAACAACTGGGCGCCGCTATGAATAGGAGTCCTTGGCTCTGGGTTTGCACCAGCTGTGCTTACTATGGTTATGGCAAACTTAACAGAGGCCCTACTCTTGATGGAAAGCTTACACAGCAAATGCTTTGAGCTTACTTATAGCTGAACTTCACCTCCAGAGTTCTTAACCCAATGGCATGCTTTCATTTCCTGCACAGCAAAACTGTAATTTCACAGTGCACTTGCTTTGCAGGAAACTGCAAGTTTTCTGTGCACCAAAAAAAGCAGTGAATGCAGGGACCACGTATTGAGTCCCTCCACAGTATGGAATTGCAGAGAGCTATTATTAGATATAGCCTCCAACAAGCCGAGGATGAAGTTGAGGCTAACTAACTGCACTGCAGCGGAGATCCATTATATATGCTGGATTCAGTGTCTGGAGAAGCAGTTGCGCTAAAATGGCTGATAGTAGATGTGCAGTGAAGGTCAAGTCAGCCATCTCTCTCTCTCTCTCTCTCTCCCCTCCCTATAAATATATTAGTCTGTCTCACAGGATGTTCCACGCTGCTCGGCATTTCCACTATCTTAATCCACAGCCCGGTTCTGTCGAGTGGCTCAAATTGGGCACAAATTTGCGTGTGATGAAATGCCACACATGCACCTGACGCTGAGCAGGCCCCTAATGATATTATTAGAGGCAACACACATGGGAGGGGGTAGAGAACACACGGGGGACAACACAGAGAGGGGGAGGCAGGGAGGGGTATGTTGTTTATGAATGGAAGGAATGAGGTTTTCCTCTCAGTTGGCTGCAGTTGAAGGTACAGGGAAGACTAAAGGGGCGAGGGGGGGCAGGCGGGTGATTTTCTTCAGCTGCTTCAGTCAAGTTAAAAAAAAAGTCAAGTATTTGAATCGATTAAGGGATCGGTCCCAAATGTTGTGTATTGAGTGCCTTTCAGAATACCATTTCAGTTCCTCTTATCAGTTCCGTAAAAGTGTCTATTTATACTTCTATTTTGCAAACAAGTGCTAAATTTATCTGAACTAAACACAGAACCCTGGTGTCTGCCAGAACCCGTCAGTTCCTTCATGTCACCCTACTGCCTCATGACTGTGACAGACCCTGTATTTTAAAGCAAGCTAGTACTTATCATGCACGGTCCATGTGCTATCTGTGGCATGAAAGTGTTTTTGGGTTTTTTTTTTGTATTTTTACTACTTTCCAAATAACAAAGCAAAGGTCTGTTAACTGTGGGTTTAATTAGCTGCAAAGCAGTATGATAGGTAGGCACAGCTTTGGCTGTAAAGAAAGGAGAAAACCTGAAAAGACATTATTTTGTATTTACATTTTTATTTAAGTTTCTAACGTTTCCTGTGAAGAGGCTACACTTTCTGTACCTTTCCAATTTTTCAGCCAAACAGATTTCTTTTAGGGGTTTAGACCCTAGAAGCTCTAGGGTCTAATACTCAGTGTTAGATCTAAATTATCCATTGAAACACAAAATAAATTGATACAAGAATCTGAATTGATTGTTAATTTCATATTTCCTTTCTTTGCAGTTCATCTGTAGGCAGTTTAAGCCCTGGTTAAAGGGATCCGTCTCTTTAAGGCAGCCTGTTAGACCAGTCTGTGCTTATCATTACGTTATCGCAGCTGTAGCTGAAAATAAACTGACTTGCTATGTGTCCGTTTCCATGGCAACCGTGCCAACGTCTGTAACTGGTTTCTCTTCCTCCAGTTCCTGTCTACTTACAGTATATAATTACAGCCACAGATTTCAGCAATAAGACAGTAGAAATTAGCTGAGATCCAGTGACTGTATCTGTTTGTGTGTGTGTGAGAGAGAGAGAGAGAGAGAGAGAGAGAGAGAGTGTGTGTCTGCTGAAGCCATTCTGACCATAGGCCATAATAATTATACGTTCTGCAGCACATTAAACCCAAAGACAGTAATTCAGAACTAAATTGCATCAGTCATTAAAGCTGCGGTCAGTGAACGTCTGACGTTTTAACGGCTCTATATTCTGACATCTAATGCTGATACATGGTCCCTGTAATGCGTGGTCAGTGACATAATGGGTCATATACAGTAGGGTCGAGGGTCCGACCTTAAATCTGGGAGAAACTTTTCTAGCACATTATCCCTCAACAATTAAAAACCAGTACCACAGAAAAAAACTTGAACAAAAACGTACTGACAATAACATGAATTAATTTGTGAAAGTAGTCAAATTAAAAATGTTACTGCATTTCACCCCTGGGCAGATAACTCGTGCTGTCCAGTAGATTCCACATCCATTCATTCACTGATCTTTGTACTAATATACCGTTGATAAAGATGTCGTTATTTGCGCAAACTGCTGGGGAAAAAAGCTTAAAATTATTAAGTAGCATCATAATTAATCACAAATAACTGTAATTAAGTTTGCATTACTGCCATCTACTGGTCTTATGATAGACGTTGTTTTAAATAATGAAGTACTTTTAGCCAGATTTATAATGAACGAATGAGAAAACGCAGCATCACTGCAGATGAACGCCCCGGTGAACCCTGTGGGACTTATTAAAAAGCACTGAAGTGATTAGTTTGGAGTAATAATGCAGTATTAAAATGCTGCATTACTTTACTGTAGATTCTTCTAATTTAATCCATGATTCTTCAACTATTTAATATGAACGTTTTTATAAGTTTTCCAAAGCAAACTTGTGTTTTTGTTTCCATTTAACTGTGACATCTTGACCTGTGCAGTGATACAAAGAGTAGAATCAGTGCAGGAATATCCCCTTCTGTTCGGCTGCTTTTTACAAATATATATTTATGAAGTATAATAGAAATGTGGGATTGTTTTACAGATCCTGGCGGCTCTGCAGTCCACTCANTGTCGGGGGCTGCATGGGGATTGCCTGCTGAAGGGCAGGGAATGGAAGCAGCAGGGCAGGGGAGATGCAGGGACGTGAGAACCCCTTGAAAACCCCCCCATCTGCACGTCATGGAACAATTGCAGGAGAGGGACCACCCACTTTAAAGGCGTGCAACAGAGAGCAGACACAACAGTGAGCTCTGTGGCCTGCACTGAACTCACCATCTCAGGTGACAAATACACTGAAAGAACCGCGGAGGCAGAGGCTTTTAACCAAATGATGTGAAGCAGCAGGAGAGCCGTTCTTTTGTTTGTTTCCTGCTGCACGTTTAATCACTGCGACACTGCTGCAGGACTGTGTATGAAAGGGAGGGATTAATGCTGCTGCTGCTGCTGCTGCTGCTGCTGTTTGTGTTGTGTTCCTGGATCATGTCTGCGCCGCAGGGGAGTACACAGATCCAGTTTTGCGCCGTCAGCCGTTAAACTGACCCGCATGGTAGTGGTTGCAGTTTCAGATGAAAGCAACAGAGGGAGCCAAAGGTGCATTTTATCTAATTATGGGAAATTATAAGGCGATTAATATCTGATCCAGATTCACGACTTTGTAAGTCAAGAGTTCAGTTCATGATTATATCCCAAATTTACACAACACGTTTTGCAAAATAAATAAGAATCTGATTTATTTTGAAATGTAGAGTTAATGTACCAAAGGTTTCAAACTAGGTTGTTGTGTGAACAACTGTTATCTCGATCGTCTAGTTCTAGTTCAGTAACATTTAGCTATTCTGTAATGATACCAAATATTTTATACCCTGTGATTTTATTCTTTATCATTTAAGCAATTAATCTCTCAGAAGTTTACTTTTTTCCTTAAACCCAGATAAACACCACCTTATCGACCATATGCTGTAATTAAACTTTGTTTTCCTAGGACAGAAAAGGCATCACTGTGAATTTATTCAGGACAAGTAACTCAAAACCAGAAACATTTTTCTCTTTAAGGGTTTAAATTTCACAAAACACATAAAAATCTTTTTTCTTTAATTTTATTCAAATCTTAGCACATACAAAAAAAACCTTATCCATAAAATGCCATACAATGAGTGAAATGATTTATTCACCAAAGTCACTAAAATAAAGTATAAAAATCACATTTTATCAGAATTAAAAGTGTAGGATTTAAGCTGAAAAATTAATATTAAAATACCTCAACCTACGCCATGTGCCAGTCGTGAAGTCAGTAGGTACTAAATCCTACACAGTGTACTGACATCACAGAGCAAATCCAACATTCATTACGTTTTCATTTCCCTTCATAGAAATGGATCTCACTGACCTTTTCCTGACAGTACATTGCACAACATCACCCTGAGATTTTTACCATCTGATTCATGCAGCTGCCTGCAAAAACAAAGGTGCAAGGGCATCAGCTGTGGACGTCCCTCCTCTGGTTGTCCCTTATTATGAGGCACCTGTCAGCCTCAGTGTCCAGCCCCACAGACATGGCATCTGGTTGTAGGGCAGTGGGGGCAGCAGAGCCACCAGGCCACTGGGATTCGCAGGCTTCCACTGCAGGGGCCCCAATCCGAGGAGCGCCACCTATGTTTTGAAAGAAGAGTTACACATGAGTGACATTAACAGTTTGAGAGAGAGAGAGAGGGAGAGAGAGAGAGAGAGGGAGAGAGAGAGAGAGAGGGAGAGAGAGAGAGAGAGGGAGAGAGAGAGAGAGAGGGAGAGAGAGAGAGAGAGGGAGAGAGAGAGAGAGAGGGAGAGAGAGAGAGAGAGGGAGAGAGAGAGAGAGAGGGAGAGAGAGAGAGAGAGGGAGAGAGAGAGAGAGAGGGAGAGAGAGAGAGAGAGAGAGAGCTTAGGCACTGTACTGTAGTGAGTCTCTAATCAAACTGTGGTCACTCCACAATGTGAAACTGGTTCCTCCCTGAACACGTCAACTGTTGAATAATTAAATACTAAGTAACTATTGACAAAAGTAACTATGACATTTACTAAAGCACAGGAATAAAATGGAGGATTTAGAGACTTCATTGCAGTAATGGTATTTGCATCTCTGTCTGTACGGTGGGTTTTTGCCAAATACTCCAGTGTCCTCCCACAAAACCTGTTCATCACGGGATCAGGTTGTTCAGACTCTTAATTGACCATAGAGGTGTGAATGTGAGTGTGAATGGTTGTTTTCAAGAACTGGAAAAAATCAGGTTTTGGATTATGCATCTCGATACAGTCAGTAGATGTAGGAAATGTTCAAACCCAGTAACAAATGAGTGACAGTGAGATTGTGTTTTAAAGGAGATATATATATAATCTAGTATATAGTTACTGTCCAATTCCAAATTATATGTACAGATATATTATAAAATGGTGCATTCATTGTGACTGAACCAAGAAAATTCCCCTTCAATGCTTTTAATAATGTGGTAGATTTGGTTTGGTTGAATTTTTACAGAAGAAAACTGTCTTTTTTTTTCTAGCTTTCATTTGCTGAAAGGTCTACAATGACCAAGTATTCTGACAAAGTGCCTGTAGCTGTACCTGAGTGGCTCCTTGTGTCGCCACAGGGTCACTCAAGGTTACGGTTCCATTGTTGGGCCACTCCAGAAAGAAAGCATACACAGTCTTCTCCTGTGGTTTAGACGTGTACCTGTCGAAACATTAAACAAGGATTTTTTTTTAAATAACTGATATTATGTGTAGCAAACAACTTTATCTCCATTTATTTCATCAGGAAAAAGTGAAACAACAAAAGCTAAAAAGGAAACAAATAACTATTGATTATTTGCCTATTAGGCAAGAAAAATGGATTACACCATATTTAGGTTTGATGGAAGCGAGATGAGATGCCCCCTAGTGGCGAGATGTCATTTTCACCCTTTTAGCCAGATTTTCAAGTAAAAACTCAAACAAAATCAACACAAACAGTGATATCTCACCAGACATTCGGAGTGACGCTGTCCTTCTGAACTCTCCAGTGTGTTGTGTTGTAGATGCCTTCTCCGTTCACCTTCAGCCACTGGCCCATCTGCCGCAGACGCTCCTCGAAGATGGGAGAGATTATTCCGTTGTGTGTCGGGCCAACGTTCATGAGCAGGTTTCCTCCACAGGACACTGTCTCCACTAATGTCTAATACAAAAAGAAGAAACTTTTTTTTCTTTCTACTATTTTATCTATTTGATATTTATAAGCATCTTCAAATTATTTTTTTTTCTCTCACCGCCACAAGCTGCTCGATGGTGAGGTAGTCAGCGAGCTGAGCGTTACGTCTGTAGCCCCAGGAGTATTTGTCAATGGTCATGCAGTTTTCCCACTTGTGTTCCATCAGGTGTCCAGGCTGGTAGCGGTCAGTGCAGGTGTAGTACCCTCCGTGGTGACAGATGCTGTTCAAACCCCACCGATCGTTCGTCACCACTGTTTCTCGAACCGGACTGAAGGAGTAAAGACAAAGACACATGAAGGCTCCATGTCCAAAGGTAGGGTGAGTATCTTTGAAAAAAGAATAAACTACGTGTGTGTATTCTTTACCTTTCGTTGTACAGCCAGGCTAAGAAACCGGTGCTGTTCCAGTACTGGTCCGGTGCATTTCCGTCCCCGTCAGACCACAGCACCTCTGGTTTGTACTTCAGCACCAGGTCATACAGCTCAGGCAGAGTTTTGGTGGTGGGGAAGTAGTTTGTCTTGAAGCCGTTGGCCGCGTCCTCTTCAAACAGTGGGTTAAACCACTCAAAGAGCGAATGGTACAGCCCCAAATGAAGGTCGCTGTAGGTCCGCAGAGCGGTCGCCATTTCGTCCACCAGGTCCCTTTTGGGTCCAACATTGACTGCATTCCAGTTCCAGGAGTTCTTAGAGCCCCAGAGTGTGAAACCTGAGAACATATAATGTGTAGGTGAATAATCGGAATACAACAATTTGAATATGGGCTCCCGAGTCAAAAAACTGTGGACATCCCTTTTATTGTATACTTTACATTAGAGTTGGAATTTCCAGATTTGGAATTTGTAAATTCTTATCGTGAATGCAAACTCACATGTATATTTGGATTCCTAATGAGTTGATAAGAGAATCGATAAGGAACCGTACGGATAGGCGATGTCCATGACGGATTTGGAATTTGTAAATTCTTATCGTGATGCTAACTCTTATTGTATTCTACCTTCGTGGTGTTTTGTGGTCAGTACGATGTATTTGGCTCCAGATGCAGCAAAGATCTCCGTCCACTGTTTGGGATCAAAGAACTCTGCGGTGAAGTGTGGAGCAAAGTCTTGGTATGTGAAGCCTGGAGGGTAGTTCTTCTGCATGAAGTCGATGTACGGCCTCGCCTTAGACTTCTGCCAATAAAACCTGCAAAAAAAAAAAAAAAACAGTTTGGTTTCGCTGGTCACTGATGAAATGCTGAAGGTAGAAGATTTTTGATGACAATAACCAAGATGAACTGGATTAGGATTGAGCGGAGTAGAGACAGAGATGAGGTAGTCGTAGTCCTTTGTTCGTCCCACACTGGGGAAATTCATGTGGTTCCTCTGGGACTGGAATCCAGGACCTTCTGCAGGAAAGGCAGACGTGTAAGCCCGTAACCACGGGTGGAGAAGATGACAGAGTCATAAGTATCATGAAGGAGGACATGAAGACGACTAGTTGTTACAGGTGATGTGTGGTGCCTGAAGCTAATTCACAAAAAGTAGCTCTGGCCATGTGTGAGATGCAATAATATTACAATATTTACTTTATGTGTATGACTTATTCATTATATGAATTATAACGTCACCAGTAAATGATTGACACTGGAAGCATTTCACTTGATTACCTGTTGATCATCATAGTTTTATAATGGACTGGGATTAAGGTGTGGTTCATGTTTTAGTAAATATCTGATCTAAAGCTTCCTGGTTCTTTCCTGTCAAAACTGTGGCATATTCAAATAGGCAGTAACATTTCTGTGGTTTTATATGGTGACACAAAACCTATTCAAATCCAAATCTGAACCATTTTTTTTAATAAATGGGGGGCAGTGGTTGAGAAAGCAGACCTGTATCTGCAAGGTCACAGGTTCCAGTCCACCAGCCACCAGGTGCCACTGAGGTACACTGAGCATGGCACTGTCCCCACACAGAGCTGCCCTCTGCTCACCATGGTGATGGGTCAAAAGCAGAGGACGAATGTCATTGTGTGCAGTGGTGTGCTGTGCATCAATTACAGTGAATCACTTTCTACAAAAATTAAACAACAGACACAGAGACTCAGTTAAAAAGGAATGGACTGAAACTAAGAACAAATCCAAGATCTACAGTTTGTTTTAAGGCGTCGTTTTTTCATGGCTGACAGACAAAGAACACTGCTGGGAATTTAAAACAACCCTGAACCACACACACACACACACAGACGTGGCACATTCCTGTTCTTATCAAAATGTGAAACAACCAGAATAATCAGGACGACGGTTACGTTGTAAAGGAAAGAACACGACACAGCCATGTTCACACTGCAGCCAACGAACTGTAAAAATCAACAAACAATGAGACTGAAAAAGAACCTGGAGCCACAGGATATCAGATTCATTATACCCACCCACACCACCACCACCTCTGCTCGTTACTCCACAGACTGCTGATTGGCACAGCAGATAGAGAAGACTGTATTATTAAACTTATCTTTGCCTCTATTTTAATTATATTCTGATAATATGTATGATAATGTATGATAATAATAGAGAGCGTTTTGAAAATCTTTGGATGAGACCATGGATTATGTATTGCATTGTCAATATTTATAGTTCGGTGGTGACTGAAAGTGCAAACCTTACACGCAAGTTCTGCAAACAATTACAAACTTCTGGTTTACAGGACAAGTAGAAACTTTGAACACACACAAACAAAAGTGTTTTATTTACATTATAGAACTGTACTGCAGTACAAATGTTGACCAGAACGCCACATTACTAAAACTAAAAAAAGTATTGTATTTTGGTTTCCTCTCCTCTCTGCAGATCACCACAGCAGGGCATCTGTTCAGTGAAACCAGACACAACTACAGTTTCACCATTTATCCATGAATAGATCCAGGCAGTGCGTGATAAGAGAATGAGGAAGAAAAACATACTCTACATCCACTCAACGTCTGAGACAGGAAAACAACACAATTAGTATCAGCACTTTCTTGTGTCAGACATGTCCAATGTCTGGCTAGTGGTCCAAACTAGGTGCTTGGCCTGAAATAATGTGGTCCATATCTCTGTTTTAAGATGCATACCAGTGTGACTGCACTTGTAAACAGATTCTTGTCATCTGTTTACATGTCACATAACAGGAATCGTTTAAATGTAAATGATGGGTTGTGGAAATTCTTTAATGCATGCATCTGTGCTCAGTATTATGTTTTCTTTGAAATATAGGTTGCAACCTACCTTTGAAGTTTACACAAGTCTAGTTATCAAACTCACCAGAACCACTCGCTGCCAAAGCTCGGGACAGAGAATACACCCCAGTGTATAAAGATGCCAAACTTGGCTTGATCGAACCAGGCTGGTATCGGTCTTGAGTCGAGCGATTCCCAGGTCGGTTGGTATTGCGCTCCGTTCGGTTCGACCAACAACAGCAGTGGTAAAAAAAACCAGGAAATGACTGTTAAAACCTCCATTTCTAACAGTGAAACCAGACAATGAACCTGTCGACAAATTCACTGATACTGTATCATACTATGTGATAATGATGGTTTTTATACCAGAATATCACGTGATAAAAATAGATCGTTGGTTTTATAGAACCTCTGAAGACGTTTCACTGCTGAGCCGTGGTTGTGTTTTGTATTGATTAACCCCCGCCTTTTCCGGAGACGCCGTACTAAAGCCCGAACGCTCCACAAACCCGCGCGTGCCCAGTGTGGTTTCGTTTCAGGAACTGGTATGTTTTGGTTCTGGGACGTTGCTTCTTCCACATGCACGGTTTTATAGACTGTCACTGTCACATCTCTGCTCGAGATTTTGACGAGGTACGAGTGTTGAAACAGTGATTTAAGTAAAAACAGTTAAATGTCATTAAATGTCATATCATGTGTTAACACCCTAAGTTACCTTAAATCTCGTAGTGATTGATTCTAAGTTGTTTTGTTAGTTGACTGTTCGGCATTCAGTATTTCAAAGACGAACCAGGAAATCAATTAACTATGATTTAAAGTGCATCTTTCCATGAAAACTGCAAATTATGGCTAGCTATCCATAGTTAGCTATTCACTGCTAACCTTAACTAAACTACACGTTCGGCGTTTTGGTAATATTTTTATTATTATTATTTGAATGCTGTTTTTCTTGTCTTCGCCAGGATTTAGATGAGGTGATTGAGAATTCAAAGAAGGTAATTTCTCTCAGCTCTGCCACCTATTCACAATAGTAATGTTTATTGTCTTTTTTTATTTTATTTTTATTTTTTTAACTTATTTATATTTTTTTTTTTGAGTTTTGTCATTGAGAGTAATTACACACAGTCTACATTGGAGCAACTACAGTATATGTGAGTATTTGTAAATGCCAACAGTACTGAAATACTGTATTTTTTCCAACCTCAGGCAGGCCTGCTGGCTCTGTTGGCTGTGGCAGAGCATGCTGGGGAGTTTGAGAAGATCATTTCCTTGTCACAGAGGTAACTGCTGTGCCACAACATGTTCAGTTAAATATAATAGAAACTCTAACTCGCAGTAACCCTTCAACCCTGTGCACAGGTTTCCAGGTTTTATTTTCCCCTGTTTAGGAGTCCATCCTGTTCAAGAAGTTTCTCCAGAGCAGCAGAGGGGGGCGCTAGTCCAGGTGCAGTCTGGTGTCACAAAGGACTTAGAAATGACATTTATAACCCATATACCCATATCCAAATAAGAGAAGAAAAAATGATTCTTCCACAGTCCATAAAGTCTGAGGCATGCATGTCCAAGCAGTATAGTTTTTGTATAAGGATTTTAAAAGCTGTTGTAGTGAACAAAGATTTAGATCATGCTGTTCCAAAGTCCAGCCCGGAGACCAATTTTGGCCTGTGGTCATATTTTATATGGCCCACAGCCTCTTACTGCAGCTTTGTTTTACAGCTGTAAATATGTATCTTGGGCTTTTTTTATGTCGTTAAATCAACAACTAGAAGGACTCACCATGTAGCACTGTCTGTTGATCATTTATGACTTTCATGATTATGAAATAAACAATTTATTTTATCATATATACAGGATCTAGATGCTGCTTTGCCAATCATAGAGCAATACAAAGACCACCTGGTTGCTATTGGGGAGGTAAAATTTTTTTTTGTCATGACATTCTTTGAACATAATCTTTGTTAGTTTTCATTCATGTTTTCCATCCTCTCATTTTCTCCCTGTTTTTGTTGAAGGTTGGTTTGGATTTCACACCCAGATATGTGAGCAGTGATGCTGATAAAGAAAGTCAGAGGCAGGTCCTGATCCGTCAGGCTCAGGTAGCCAAGGAGCTGGATCTCCCTCTGTAAGTATATCTGGAAGCCAAATCTAAGAACTTCAGAAATGTAAGCAAAAAAAATGCTGTGTTGTCAATTTTTGTATTTGTCATTTGACATTAAAAGAAATGTTTGTGTACAATTTATTTTTAGAAATGTTCATTCACGATCAGCA